ATCTTCTGCTTACTGTAGCAAGATATAAAAACATTCCTTATTTGCATAGTCCCTTTGGATAAACTCAAAAAAGTTTCTCCTAGAATTTTTAAAATTATAGTTCGATAAAAAATGTAGTACCAATATGACAATATTTAGTAATATAGGTTGTGTTTTTATGTTTCATTATTATATTTAGCTGTTTAGTTATTATATTACTGTATTGTAATGAACTCACTTAAGAAAGTGCTGCCGTCAGGCTGGCCTGTAGGTAAATTTCTGGGGTATTGTCTTGATAAATGATTGATGTTGGAGTGCCCAACTAAACGATAGTAGTGCCACCCTTAAGCAGGTAATCCTGGGTGCTATTAAAAAAAGCAAGTTGAGCAAGCCATGGGAACAAGCCAGTACATCACTCTTCCATGGCTGCTGCTTTAGTTCTTGCCTTAACTTCCTGCCTTGACTTCCTTCCAAGATGGACTGTGATGTGTAAGTGGAATAAACCCTTCCTCCCCAAGTTTCTTATGCTCATAGCATTTAATCACAGCAGTAGAAACCCTAAGACATTGCTTAAATACTTGCCCAGTCCCAAACTCTACATCTCAGTGAACTTGTTAGAATGGCCATTCTGATTTAACTTTTTAAGTTAATGTAATCCTTAGGATTATTCAGTATCACATCAATAATCTAAGCATTCCATTCTTCTCAAGTTTCAGTGGTAGCTAAATAGAAAAAAGTAAAATTTTGCTAAGGTAGAAATGTTCTATATACCTTTAAAATGTAATTGCTCAATTGAGTGTGGTAGGTCAGACCTTTAATCCTAGCACCCAGGAGGTAGAGAGAGGTGGATCTCTGTAAATTCAAGGCCAGCCAGATCTACATAGTGAGTTCCAAGCCAGCCACAGCTACAGTGAGACTCTGTCTCAAAAAAACATAATTAAACAGTAATTATTGAGAATAGATCTTTTTAAAATACGTGTTTGTATTAGTTAATATGTCTGTGTGAGAGTATGTCCAGATGCCTGCAGGGGCCAAAAATCACATCCCCTGGAGTCAAAGTTATAGCTGGTTATAAACTACCCAATATAGATGCTGGGAACCAAACTCAGGTTCTCTGAAGAGCAGTATGCACTCAAGCACTAGGCCAGCTCTCCAGCCCCTGAGAGTAGATTTTAAGTATTACTTCAAAAACAATGATTTATGGGAGATGATAGACAGGTTTGTTATTTTGATCCAATAATCCTACAATGTAGGCATATATCAACCATACTCTGTACCCCAAAAATGTATAATTTGGCTAAATTTGGGAGTATAGAAAATATAGCTCAGTCCCTGACTCAGCACTTTTCTAAAGTCTGTTAACAAACAGCACACCTTGGCAGTAGCACACAACTTAGCAGTATATAAGCCAGATAATCTTATTGATCATGTATGTAAACTCAAGAGGATGCCTCACCTAGACCTTTTAGTTCATCAGATTCCCAGATCTTCCAATTTTATTATAGATACCAATTTATTTTTCATATTGTAACTGCAAGCAAGTATAATTGGTAAAATTAAAATAGATAAGCTGCCTCCTAATAAACTCCAGGAATAAAATTCTTTAGTGTTAGCAGACAAGCTAACAGTATCCAAGTGCTTGATAGTCTGGAAATGTTTAATATGATTTTTTTCTTTCATATGGAAACAGATTCAGGAGTTGCTTAAGAAAATTAAACTGTTTTTAACTGCCTTTTTCTTATTTTTGTTCCTTTTAGTCTGCCCTGCTGGCTGGAAACCTGGTAGTGAAACAGTAAGTCATGTTGATCTTGTTGTTAAAGGCATGGCCAGAGCCAAAAATGTATGCCAACTTTAATCAGACTGTCCTGATTTCCAAAATGAAGTAAACATTGTTAAGCAGAAATCAGACTGCAGACATTCCTTGGGCTGGCGGGGGAGTAGCTAAATTCAGAGAAGTCATAATATGGATAATATTGTGAATTTTAAAGCTAACTGTCCAGAGAAATACACTGTTTAAAAAAAGGAGAAACCAAAAGGGCAAGGTAGAGATGTAGGAGAATAAACTTAGAGGCTGTGTATGGAATTTCTTCCTGTATTGTGAGCCAAGAAAACAGTCCTGAGCCAATGTCTCTGCATAGGAGAAAGCTTTGAAGAAAATCTGGTTTTAATGAACACTGAAGCTAATGGTCTACTCCCTGTCATTTAAAGAAAGAAAAGATTCAAACAAATACACTTCCTCCCTTACTGGTACACTTTATGAGCAGTCCTTGAAGTAACCTTTGAATAGAATGATTTGGAAACTTGAATGAACCTTTTCTTAAATAATATCTGAAATCTTTCAAGTTTTTAATCTTCTGAAAATCAAACAGTAGTTAGGGAAAAATACTAGAGGAAAGAAGGAAGAAATTTTCTTAAAATAGAAGTACCATTAGCCAGAGATAGTCAAGGGTGGTAGGTCATGTTTTACCTTCAGATGTACTCCTTTCTCTTTTTTGAACATGGATCCTACATTAGAGCTTTGCCTTTGCAGTTTTTTCTTAAAAACATATTACTGTGCATTGTATGTTTATATGATGGGGGCTGTGCATGCCACCATGTGGATGGCAGAGGACAGCTTGTAGAGTCTGCTCCCCTTCCACCTTTATGAGGGTTCCAGAGATCATCAGGTTTGCAAGGCTTTTATCACTGAGCCTTTGATGTTCTTTCTGCATTGCCTCTGTGTGGTTGGCTGGCTCCTCCTCTTCACTCATATTTCAGCTAGATGTCATCTTGAAAGTCTTTCCACAGCACCGTATACCAGCCCCATTTACTATCCCATCAGCCTGTTTTTGAAAACATTTACCAGTATAAAGATGGCAGAATATAAGTCTGAAGACAGGGGACATTAGTTATCTAGTTTGTTAATGCATACTGTCTGGCTAATAGTTTAAATAGTTGTCATATAGTAAATGTGTGTCAAGAATGACTAACCCCAGAAACACACACATGGAATTATTTTGGTCAACTTAAATTAAACACAGTATATATACTAACACATGTACATTTTTCTGGAAATCCATGGTTTTCACCAGATTCTCAAGAAGTTTATGTCCTCTAAAAGTTAATCTCATAAGTAGCATATTTTCTGAAGTGTATAATATTTATCCTATAATACTTTTCCTAGTGAATATATATGTTCTTGGGAACTTCCACTGATTGTTCAGGAGCTGAATACTTAGAATGTATCTGCAATGTTATTTTTCATCACAATTGGTTTGATATATATCTGCATGCAGAATTGCCTACTATCTTAAAGGAGAAATGCTTTTTAAACCAGTAGTTTCTGAATTGTAATTATATGTGTAAGCCTGTACAATCAACTAAATATAAGAACCTTATGGAAATTTATTATTTAATATATCTAGTGCTTAACATACCATTAATGAATTATCTTCATGTCCTCTAAGATTTTCTTTGGAGGAGTTTTTCTTTCAGAGTATTTATTCACTGAATTATTTATCTGTGCTTTTTTTTTCACTTTGCAGCTTGAGATTATAAAGCACTGCATTCTGAGCCAGGCTAGGTGATATAAACCTGTAATCCCAGCTACTTAGGAAGCTGAGGTAGGAGGATCAAAAGTTCATGGCCTGTCTAGGCTACACATGAGTTCAAAACTAAAATAGGAAATACAGCATGGTTCTATCTCAAAAAAGAAAGCAGTAAACAGAGCTTTAGATTCAGCTCAGTACTAACACTCTTAACAGTTGAAGGACCCAGGCAGGGTTCAACTCCCAATACCCGAAATACCTTTAAAAATTCATTTGATAAATCCTTAGTAAACACGCTGCCTTCTTTTCAGGTTATTGTATAACATCATCTAATCAGCAAACACATTTTAAAATATGTTAAAAATCTGTGGCCATGCTTTCAGTGTGTTAAATTAAGTTGGGCCCAAATGTGCTATGAAAGCTTAGTAGCCAAGAGAAGAGCTGTAAATAACTTTTGGGTTGCTTGAATATAGATGATGTTAATTCATTGAGAAATATATTATTTGCTTCTTGGGATAGCTGAAATTAGTAGGTAGGACAAATCTAGTTTTTCCTAAACATAGTACATAATTTGATTTGGTGTCCAGAATTAATGGTTACATCTTTAGGCAACAGGAGGGTAATTAATGCTAAAGTATTCATAATGTACTTTGGCTTTTTTAAATGAATAATTTCCTTTTCTTTTTAAACAGATAATCCCAGATCCAGCTGGAAAACTGAAGTATTTCGACAAACTGAACTGAAAAATACTTCAGTTTTGATGTTTGGACCTTCTCAATAAAGGTCACTGTGTTATTACCATATTGGGTTGCCATTGTGTTTTCTTAGATAATATCAAAAATCTGTCATACTCCAAAGGTATTTATTGTTGAAGGTAGACATTAAACACAAAAAAGCATTCACTTTCTAAATTAAGGAATAACAAATTGAGTCAAATTCATAATCAGCATAACTGTCATTTATGGAGTATTTACCATGTGGCAGGCATTGTATTAAGGAGGCCTGACACATTTTATTATCGCAACTGTTATTATAAGATGAGGAAAGAAACTCAGGTAAATTACCCAATGTTAACATATCTAGCTAGCAAAGGCTGCATTAGACTTTGAACCCAGACAAGCTAACCCTAGTATGTGAGCTCTCAACAATGCACTGTAGCTCACATGTCTGCAAATCTTTGAGCATAGAATAAGTTGTGAGCACCTTCCGCAGCATCATGTATGGATAGCTGACCCCAATAGTTCAAGCTCACTGATCTGTAATAATACAAAGCTTTCTGGCTCCATCCTTTCTCTAAACTCACATTTTCAATTTAGGTGAAATCTAACAGTAGTAGCTTATATGTTTATGTTTAGTTGAAAAAATAAAAATTGAAAAAATAAAAAATATAAATTGTATATATAGCTAGCCATATATAAAGCAGAACTACTCTAGTATTTCTTCACCCATAAGTGTTTCATGTAGTTAAGGGACCTGGTATCCAGAAGAATTGACCTCTTCCTTTCTTCCATGCTAATGTCCTCAGTATTCTTTCCCTGGAAAGGCCATCACTCTAAGTGGTGGGTTTATTACTGGCATTTGGAAATTAGCATAGGGATCTAAGTGTCATTCAAGTGCTAGCTTACAGTCAGAATTTTAGAACATGACCTTTTAGTGAAGTTGAAGACTATTTATACTTTGTCAAATGGATTTGTGAGAAACTTAAAACACGTATTAGAATTGCACTCCTAAGACTTCCTTTCCTTTCTACATGAAAAGTACAGATTTTTTTTCTTTTCCTAGTTTATTGAGATAGGGTCTTATTTTTATTTTTTTATTTTGCAAATTATTTTTATGCATTTTATTAAAATAGAATTAAATCATTTTTCTCTTTTTCCTTCCACTCTTTTTTTAAATTTTCTTTTATAATTTAATTTAATTTTACATATCAGGCATGGATTCCCTTATTCTCCCCCTCTCCCCCCAGCCCACTCCCCATTCCCATCTCCTCCATGGCAAAGCCTCCCCCGAGGACAGCGATCAACCTGGTAGACTCAGTCCAGGCAGGTCCAGTCCCCTCCTCCCAGGCTGAGCCAAGTGTCCCTGTATAAGCCCCAGGTTCCAAACAGTCAGCACATGCACTGAGGACAGGTCCTGGTCTTACTAATTCTAGGTTGGCCTGGAATTTTCTGTGTCACCCAAGCTGGTCTTAAACTTCAGACTGTCTTACTGTCCCAAGTGCTGTGATTACAAGCATACACCATCATACCCAGAGCAATTAAACCTATCTTCTTCATTAATAGTTTCTGTGAAGTTTTGTCAAATTCTTGTTCATTTTTAGGTAGTACAACATTTTTTTAGAACCACTCAACAAAACCAGTTATTAATATGTGTGGCAACATGCAGCAGCTTTTGATCATCTAAACACTTGGCAGAAATAATGACTGGACAGATTTCTGCCTTGAAGGAATCTAGTATCTGATTACTGAAGCGGTGTTAATAGTGTGATAATTTCTCAGTAACTACAAATAAATATACACTTATGCTCATGACTTTTCATAGTAACTTAAGCAAATGTCTTATGAATTAAATACTATGCCCTTTGTCGTCTGTTTTAAACTAATTAGTGAAAGTCCAAGGTCCAAATGACACCCTAAACAAAACACTGGGAGAAAGTGATTAGAAAGGATGGCCATTGATGTACTGGAAAGAACAGGCCCTAGACACTGTCCAGAGACCTGTTAGAACATGCTAACCTCTCATCACCTAGAGAACGGCTGCTTAACAAAGTGGCAGAAGGGGGTTTCACCCTCTGGTCACAGTAGTGACTGGAGGTGCTTTAGTGTTTTACTAAGCTAAAAATGTGCTTGGTCTGCTTCCTAAATAATTTCAGGATTACCTTGTCAGAGTACTGTTATAGTAGCAGTGAAGGGTCCATAAAGAGAAAGATTTCGCTGTCTAGCTAAAAATGAAACCTAAGCTCAAGAAGAGGTATATAGGAGGGTTTGTAGAGAGGAAATGGAAGGGGGAAATGATGTAATCTCAAAAACAAACGAAAGTATAAAAGGAATGGAACCTGTCTTTGGGTGGAATTGTGCCATTGTCTCCTTATAAATTAATCCAAAGGGGTGGACAGGTGGTTCAGGAGGTAGAAACACTATTTTTCCAGAGGGCCAGACTTCAGTTCCTAGTAGCTATGTCAAATGGCTCAATTGCCTGTAACTCTAGCTGCAGGGGATATAATGCATTTGGCCCCTGAGGCACCCGTACTTACGTGTACATACACACGCACAATCAGAAATTTTTAAAAATTTCTTTAAAAACAATCCAGTTGGGCAGGTCAATCACCTGGCCAAGGAAATACCCCTCAGAAAGGCTGGTTCACCTTAAGCCAAGCTACTGAGATGGGAGGAATAATAAGCCCGTTCATGTGATAATGTATTTTTCCTTCCAGAATTCCTGCCCCAAGACAGGCCCTATAAGCCACTCTGAGGTTCTGTTGGGTGTAACTTTCTACTGTCATTTTTCAGCTACTGGCCAGAGCTTCTTTGTGCTGTCTCTAGTACTTCAGGCTTTTTCACACTTTCTCTAAAGCTCCTCTTCTCTGCCATAATGCTGTTTGTCCACCATGTGGTAGGCATGGCTTTTTGTCTTTCTGCTATCTCCCTCTGGGCAGGTACTAAGATTTTTCTGTCCAGGGATTATTCTTTTAAACCCTAAAAAAAGTTCTTGAGTTTAGAAATACTTGTGTAAGAACTGGGGGCAGAAGGCTTAGGAATAGAGCATGTACTTAGGATGCGTGGAGCCCTAAATTTAATCCCTAGCACCCAGAAAGAAGGGCTATTAGCATCAAGTGGATAGAAGCCAGGAATGCTGCTAAAACCCTGTTATTCATGTAGCAGTTCCTCAAAAGAATTACATGGCCCATTCCTCCATGAGAATTTATAAGCAGTTAACAGCTGCTTTGGGGGAGTAGCTCATGAGCCCTCCCCTCCCTAAATGCTATAGGTAGTTAATGATTGCTGGGGGGAGCAATTTTTGTCAATCATGCACTCACTGGTAAGGAACAACTCACCTATGTTACTGTAAACAATGCTAATAACAGCTGGGAAAGGAGTGATTGGAGGTGAATATGATTACACTATTAGAGACATGTATGAAAATGTTATGAAACCTATTATTGTATATAATTAATAAATCCTACTAAAAATAAAGCTATACAAAAAAAATAATTAGGACCCAGCTAGAGAGATGGCTCACTTGCTGCTCTTATGGAGGATGAGAGTTCAGTTTCCAGCATCCACATGGTGGATCACAACCAGCAGAAACTGCAGTTCCAGGTGAGCTGACAGCTCTTCTGGACTCCAAAGGTACCAGGTGTATACATGGTGCACACACACACACACACACACAAACACACACGCAATTAAAACACTCAAACACATTAAAAAATATTAAGACCCAAATATCAATAGTGGCAAGGTTGAAAAATCCCTAAAGATAGTTGCAAATGCATCACGGAAAATAGGAAGCTAGTGTTTAATAGCTGTCTGTGCAGATTAAGGTCAAAACCATGCCATATCAGGATCTCGTCCCAAATCTTCACTCAATAGGTGATCTGAAACATGTAGAATATATTAGGCATTTCTTTTCAGAGCAGTAATATGTAATATTTCCAGTCTTTTGTCGAATATGTATTTTCCAGTGAAGTATTGCCAGCATTCTGAGCTTCCCAATGTAAGGAATTCCTAGGGAAAAAAAGCTGAGTCTGCAAGGTATGATTGATTAAAATTTTAATGAAGTGGAGAGGTTGGACTGTTGTTCCAGAAGCTAATTAGTTTATCTTGGTCTATATATTAAATAAGCATTTCTTGCCACCCACATACCTGACCCCTACTGACACCAACATCCGGGGACAGATTTTAAAAGCCTTTTGGGATGTATTAAACAAAACCCTAGCTTTTTACCAATCAAAGGGCTGTCAGGTAATGTCTAAGTCATGGATCTCAACCTTCCTAATTTAATACAGTTCCTCATGTTGTGGTGACCCCAAACCATAAAATTAATTTCATTGCTACTTCATAACTGTAATTTTGCTACTGTTATGGGTTGCAATGTAAATATCTGAACCTTATGCTCACTTCTCCAGGCCTATAAAATGTCCTTGTGTACAATGTTTTTTTTAACATATAAAACATAACAAAATACATTGTTCAGGAAATTGGGTCCAAAAAAGTATCTTGGTGAAAGAACACACACATATGTTCACATGCATATATGTATATATCTATTTTTCATACAGTTATATATAGAAACACTTCTATAAACTCTTAGTTGCTTATACATCTTTTTACAAGAAAAAACAACTGTACTTGCTATGGCTGGACATAGTAGCACATGCTTGTAATTACAGCACTAGAGAGGCTGAGGCAGGAGGATCATGGTATAAGGCCATTCTTTATGAATATAGCAAAACCCTGTCCCTCTAAAAATCAATGGCCAAGATAAGCAGCTCAGTGGTACAAAGCTTATCTAGCATGCCCATAGTCCTGAGCTCTACCTCCAGATCTGAGCATGGAGGAAAAGGAGGAGAGAAAAGGAGAGAAGGAAGGGAGAGAGGGAAGAAGGAAGAGAATTTACAAGTTTTCAGTTAAAGGAAGTGCTATAACTCAAAGACCACTAGATGGCACTTAGCACAAGGAAATGGAACAAAGACTTAGGGAGGCTAAGTGTGAATTGCAGTCTCAAATGATTTCGTTTTCTTGTGAGACAGGGCCTCATTTAGCCGGGGCTGGCCTTGAACTCATTATGTAGGTGAAGCTTGCCTTGAACTCCTGATATTTGTGTCTCTACTTCCCAAATACTAGCATTGCAGATGTAGGTCACCACACCCAACTCCAGATTTATTTTCACAAATAGAGAACTTAAATGAGAACAATTCAAAACAAAGTCCAACTCAATGAAGCACCTTAACTTGTACTAAACACATACTATCCATGGCAGTCAATTCTTTTTATCAAGACCCAGTTAGAAGTCCGTTTTCGAAGTTCCGGCGGAGAGCGTGGCGAGCTAGGGAGTGCAGCCTCCTTCCTCTGGGTCCTCCGCGGCCTCGGCCTAGCCAGGTGAGCCTGGGCCCCGGGAACAGCCTTGGTCTCCGTCCTGCGAACCCCAGAAACCTGAGCCCTGACAGCAGCCACCAGCCCGGCCCACCGCGATCCTGCAGCTACCCTTTCCTCCGCCGACGAAGAGCCTCGATGGCAGCGATCTCTGCGCCCGGCCTCCTCGACTCCATCCGGCCCCTGCTTTCCAGGACCGGGCTTTGGAGATGCTCCAGCCATGCCTTCCAGGACATCTCTAGGTGTCGGCGGGCGTGGCATGGCGGAAAGAATGGCGGCCACCACCGAAGGCCAAGCTTGGCCCTTCCGGGCCTCTGCAGCCTGATGTGGTGGGTCTACGCAGGAACACTGGGCCATTGCTGGGAGGAGACCGCCCGGTTGACGAGCCCCCTCCACCCGCTACTCCCTGCCCCCGAGACCTGGATGAACAAAGATCTCTACGGTCCTGGAGGGAAGTGAGCGGAGCCCCTGCATAGCGGCCCGAGGAACGATCGATCACAGGGTCCTAGAGAAGCCGGGACGTGACATAGCATGCGGCCTTTCGGAAACGCTGGCTGGCGAAGGTTTACCAGCCGCTGTAGAAGACTTTGTACATAATATGAAAAAGCTGCTCTCAACCTTATCTCCGACCCTTTAGAGAGACCTTTGGCTAAATCTGGACATTTAGCTGTAGAGGTTAGTAGGAAATCAGAAATCAGGTGATACCCAGTCGTCTTTAAAAAATTCATAGACGTGTCTTCTAGAAGTGACTTTGAAATGATTTAGGCCACCTCTAGAAACAACCAGGTGTGACACTTGTCCTTGTTTGTTCAGTAGTTATAGGACCCAGACGGAGAAAGAAGAGGTCCGAAGTCAGATTGGTTGTGTGAAGAAGACGTCTTTATTTGGTGTTCTAACTATTGTATTGTGTATGCATTTTATTCATTCCACACCCCCACCTGTGTGTGTGTGTGTGTGTGTGTGTGTGTGTGTGTGTGTGTGTGTGTGTGTTTGACAATGCCAAGTATTTTTGGAAATATCTTTCTAGATGCTCTAAGGTGCCTGACATATTTTATAAGTAGCGAAACAACACATTGTGTAAATACGTTTTTGTTGGGATTCATTTGAAATATTGTTTGGGGAGGAATTGCCAAACCCCTCCTGAGTTGACCACATTTGGGCCCTGGTTCCCGGAAGAAGGACATGCAGAGCTCAAGCCATTGTGCTCCATGGGTGGAAAAGAAACCACTGTCTCATTGTGTTTGTCTTTGCTGTGTACATAGTACATGTAAAGGACATAAGAGTCCTATCTTACAACATCTAGTCACTCTAGATGTTAAAGAGGTTGCCAGTGTATGACAAACTACAGGTAGTAGAACAATACATTTTGTACTTTTTGTGTTAAAAAATTTTATTACTCTTGTTACATGTGTGTCATTTACTGGACTGCTGTGTACATAGTGGACAACAGTCCTTACTTGAAACATCTGGTCTATCTAGATGTTTAGACATACCCAACATATGTTAAATGTAGAGGTAGTAAAATATCACTTTGTAAATATCTTTTTGCTAAAATTCATGAAACACTGCCTTTTGGGAATAGAATTTGAACCCCTCTGTGAGCAGTACTGTCTGTACTTAGTGATTTGGAGGAAGTACTGGGAGGCAGCGAGGTCATGTGCTAGTGTGTTTATATGGGACCTTTAGGACGTCATTTCTGTAAATTTGCATTTTGTTTTGCTAGGTGTATACTGTAAATAATGGACAAATCTGTCTGAAATCTTCAGCTTCTAGTCTCTAGATGTTAGAGGTTGCCAGTCTATGACAAAGTAAAATTAACACATTGTGTACAATGTTAAAATTTATAGGAAAGATTGTTCTGAAAATGATTTTGGGGATATGAATTTGTTCAGCTATTTCTAAGCATTACATATGCCTGTAATTATCTACTGGTTTGAAGGCAGAGAGGAGGAAGAAAGTGGGTCAAAGCTCAGATGGTTGTGTTTAGAAGATACCTCAGATAATAACCACTGCTTTGCAAACAGTTGTTTGCCAGTGCAGTGTGAATAGCAGACATTATTATTATTATTATTGAAATCCCTAGTCTTTCTACATATTTAAAAGTACTTGACACATTTAAAAGTAGAAGTAGTAGAATAATGGTTTGTGTAAATGGTTTTGAAAAACTGGAGACACTATATTTAGAACAGTTAACCCACCTCTGAGAATAGTGCACCAGCTGTACTTGTTCAGTGGATTGAGGAGGTGGGAGGGAAGAAACTGCAAAAAGATACCCTTAGTGTGCTAGATAGACACCTTTAGCTTACCCGTCACCCCGTGTGGTAGATTCACTTCATTTAATGTTGCTGTTCTGTATATAGCATACATACTGGACAAAGGAGTTCTTATTTTATGATCTCTAGTTTCTAGGTGTTGAAGAGGTTGCCAACGTATGACAAATGTAGAGTTAGTGAACTAACACATCCTGTATACTCTGTTAAAGTTCACAGCAAGGTTGTCTTCTGAAGAGAGTTGTGAAAGTATCCAAGTGACGGGTGCCCGTGTCATGTGATACTGGAGAAAAAGAAGGTCAGAGACCAGAATACTCTCAGCAGAAGACACTTTGAGATCTAACCAATGTTACGTGTGTGTGGTTTCAACACCACTGTGTATATAGGGGACAAATTTATGTCCTCATCTGAAACATCTAGTCCTTCTCGGTGTTTAGAAGTACATAAAGTATGTTAAAGGTAGATGTAGTAAATAATACATGTTGTAAATTCTTGTTTAAACTCATGGTGAAATGCTGTCTTTTGGAAATGGAATGATAAAACCAATTCTGAGCAATACAGACTTGTGCTGGTTTGGGAGGAAGGAAGAAAGAAAGCATATGTAGGGCCTAATACTAATGAAAGTTTTGGTAATGCAAGATTAACCATTGTCCCTTTTTCCTGTGCATCTTATTTTGTGATATCTCGTGTATAGAGAAGATAGACAAGTCCAAATATGTAGTGCCTAATCTTCCTATGTGGTAAACAGGCTGCCAGTGTGTAACAAAGTATAGTTAGTAAAAAGACATGCTTTAAAGTTGTGTTAAAATTCAGAGGAAAAAAACTTAAAACTACTTAGGACGTTGTTAATATCCCCACAAAAACATGACAGTTATATAAACCTGACCCCTGGGTTAAGAGAGATGGGAGAGGTTCTAGACCAGAACATTGCTATTTATAAGTATGTTAGGTTTGTGCAGTTTCTTTACTGCACTGCACTGTGCATATGCTGGGGAAACTGAATGTTACTGAAAACATCTAGTCTGTAGACTTTTAAGTGCATAATAGACTTGCTGTGGTAATGCACGACTTTAATCCTAGGGTGAGGCAGGTGGACCTTGTGAGTTCCAGGCCAGCCAAGGCTACACAGACTTTGTCTCAAAATAGTAAGAAAATGTGCATAATGGACTGGTAGGGTGTCTCAGCAGGTAAAGGCGCTTGCCATCTAGATGGTGGACCTGAGTTTGATCTCCAGGATCCACATGATAAAAGGAGAAAACTGATTTACAGATTGTCTTTTAGCCTCCATACAAGCACAGTGGTATGCATGTGCCCACATGAATATGCTAATTCATAAATGTAAAAAATGCACAACATGGTAAAAATAGAGGGTTACCAACACCTTTTAAGGGTTGTTGTTTCATAGGAATGGTTACAGTGGAGGAATGGAATTATTAAACTTGGTCTTTGAGCAGATACTGTTACCAGGTGGTGGAGGTATGGATAGGGGAAACAATAGTGAAGTGTAAGGTACTGTGCCTGTTGGTTGGTTCCCGGTTGTCTAGTCATTGTTCTGGTGTGCATTTCAGTTAATGTTGCCAAGTATTAGAGGATAAGTCCCAGTGCCCAAAGGATGTTAGAAGTAGCAAGATAGTCACTATAAATGTCCTGCTAGTCTTTTGGAAGGGCTGTCTTCTGGGGTGACCTTTGTAATACCCTCACTAGAATCATCCCGAACTGGAGTTGTGCAGAGAAGAGGACAGATGAGCAAGAGCTCTTTGCTAGGACATATAGAAAACTGTTAAAGCTGTACCCAGGGATCCATATGTGCATTTCTGGGATGACACTTGTGTTTCTTGTGCACAAAGTTCATTCCACAACATCTGAAATTCATAAATGTCCTAAAGGAGAGCATATGGTTAAAGGGATAGCTCGACAGATTTGACAAAAAAGGTTCCTCTTGAGCATAGAATTGTTAAACCATGTCTGGACAGTGTGAGTTAATTCATGTTGCTAGGCTGACTGTGGAGGGGCAGAGGGAGGCTCATAGAGTGAGATCTGCAGCGCTGTGCTGTCTTGAGACTGACATCCTGAGAACCCCTGTCGTAGGTGCATCTTCAACTACTCCACAGGAATACATTTATTGAGCAGGAACACGCCTTCTTCCTCATATTCTAGTATATAGATCTGATGATAAACTTAGAAATGCTGTACTTAATGTGGTCTGTGGCTTTATTTTCTTGTAAGCTGAGCATTGAGGAATGCAGAATTTTAATTGTAACTTTGCCAGTACTTCTATCTAGAGACCTGCTGCCATTTTTGTCTTCTATGAAACTTCTGTTGCCAAGGAAGACAGGATTACAGTTTTGTCTGACAGATTGAGATAGCATGTATTCTTGGTTATCAAAATACTCATGTAACGTGGGGTTTTTAGTTGGTGAATAGTCACAATGTGCGGAAAAGCATGGTACATACTGTATAATCTCAATTCCCTAAATGTGTGTACACTGTCAGCATCTAGAAGGACACATCAAGCTGAGCTGCTTGTGACTGGGTGGCTGTTCTTGGCATCTCGTGTTGTGTTTTCTGTAATGCACATACTACAAATAAATGCTTCTGTTAAAATCTTAAAAAAAAAGAAGTCCATTTTCTATCATAACCTACTTACTATACATATAGTATATGTACTATTCATACATAAAAATATCACACAACTCTTATTGTACATGATAAATTCTGGTGGGTTTTTTTTGGTTTTTTTTTTTTTTTTTTGAACTGAGGATCAAACCCAGGGCCTTGTGCTTGCTAAGCAAGCGCTCTACCACTGAGCTAAATCCCCAACCTCAATTCTGGTGTTTTTAATATTCATAGATCATTCGCCAAATTTTGATCCTGTGATTTCAAATTCAGTTTGAAAAAAACATATTTTATAAATATATGGGTATATTTAAAACAGGTATAAAGACAGAACACAGCAATACCTAATATATCAATACTTTAGCAATTATAATTTTTCTTCTTATGAGCATTATAATTTTGGTTATTTGTCATATTTTAAAAGATTTTCTCTCAACAAAGATGGCGGTGGCCCTTGCGGCGGGAGCAAGCTGGGCAACAGCTGGGGTTAAAGCTGCAGCCAGGCCCGCAGGGAGGCTGTTCCGGTTATGAAGGGGTGGCCCTGAGCTGGAGCTGGACCCCGGCTGGCCTCCCCCGCCGCCTCACCGGGGGGGGGGGGGCAGGTCCAGCCTGCGGTGTCCACAATGCCCCAGGCTTCTGAGCACCGCTTGGGCCGGACTCGAGAGCCACCAGTCAATGTACAGCCCCGAGTGGGAGCCAAGATACCATTTCCTCCCCGGGCCCGCAGCACCGAGTTCCTGGGCCGAACTCCATGTTACGACCTTTGCCTCCCAGGCCAGGTCCCCCAGATGAAAGGCTCAAGAAACTGGAGCTGGGTCGGGGTCGGACCACAAGCTCTCGTCCTAGAGGCCCCCTTCGAGCAGATCATGGGGTTCCCTTGCCTGGTTCACCACCTCCAACTGTGGCTCTGCCTCTCCCATCCCGGACCAACTTAGCCCGTTCCAAGTCTGTGAGCAGTGGGGACTTGCGTCCAATGGGCATTGCCTTGGGAGGGCACTGTGGCACTGGCGAGCTAGGGGCTGCACTGAGCCGCTTGGCACTCCGGCCTGAACCACCCACTCTGAGACGTAGCACTTCTCTCCGGCGTCTCGGGGGCTTCCCTGGTCCCCCTACCCTGCTCAGCATACGGACAGAGCCCCCTACTTCCCATGGCTCCTTCCACATGATATCTGCCCGGCCCTCTGAGCCTTTCTACTCTGAGGACAAGATGGCTCATCACACACTGCTTCTGGGCTCTGGTCACGTTGGTCTCCGCAATCTGGGAAATACATGTTTCCTGAACGCCGTGCTCCAGTGTTTGAGCAGCACAAGGCCTCTTCGAGACTTTTGTCTTCGAAGGGACTTCCGGCAAGAGATGCCTGGAGGAGGCCGAGCCCAGGAGCTCACGGAAGCCTTTGCAAATGTGATTGGTGCCCTCTGGCACCCTGACTCCTGTGAAGCTGTGAATCCTACTCGATTCCGGGCTGTCTTCCAGAAATACGTTCCCTCCTTCTCTGGATACAGCCAGCAGGATGCCCAAGAGTTCCTGAAGCTCCTCATGGAGCGGTTGCACCTTGAAATCAACCGACGAGGCCGCCGGGCACCACCAATCCTGGCCAGTGGTCCAGTTCCCTCTCCACCTCGACGAGGAGGGGCTCTGCATGAAGAACCTGAATTAAGTGATGATGACCGAGCCAACTTAATGTGGAAGCGCTACCTGGAGCGAGAAGACAGCAAGATTGTGGACCTGTTTGTGGGCCAGCTGAAAAGTTGCCTCAAGTGCCAGGCCTGTGGGTATCGCTCCACGACCTTCGAGGTTTTTTGTGACCTGTCCCTGCCCATTCCCAAGAAAGGATTTGCTGGGGGCAAAGTGTCTCTGCGAGATTGTTTCAGCCTTTTCACCAAGGAAGAAGAGCTAGAGTCGGAAAATGCCCCAGTGTGTGACCGATGCCGGCAGAAAACACGGAGTACCAAAAAGTTGACAGTACAAAGATTCCCCCGAATCCTCGTGCTCCATCTGAATCGATTTTCCACCTCCCGAGGCTCCATCAAGAAAAGCTCAGTAGGTGTAGACTTCCCATTGCAGCGACTGAGCCTAGGGGACTTTGCCAGTGACAAGGCGGGAAGCCCCGTCTACCAGCTGTACGCCCTCTGCAACCACTCCGGGAGCGTCCACTACGGGCACTACACCGTACCCTGTGCCGCTGCCAGACTGGTTGGCATGTCTACAACGACTCCCGTGTCTCCCCTGTCAGTGAAAATCAGGTGGCATCCAGTGAAGGCTACGTGCTGTTCTACCAACTGACGCAGGAGCCACCTCGGTGCCTGTGACACCGTCTTGAGCCCTGGCACCTGTGAAGACCTTTTCAACACCCTTAAGCTCCCAGGCTCCCCATTTACCTCAGAGACGTCTATTTTTGTGTCTTTTTAATCGGGGAGGGGTGGTGGTGGTTGTAGCTCCCATTATTTTTTTTATTAAGAAGCACCCTTCCACCTTGTTTCCGGCCCCATGTACAGAGCTCACCAGGCCCTTGACCATGTACAACCCCCAGAACCTCTGCAATCTCACTTTTTGTGAATAAATTTATTAAGAAAAAAAAGATTTTCTCATTTTTGTGCATATATGTGTTCTGGTGAGTGCATGTACATTTGTGGCCATGCAGATACATGTGTCTGTGGACAATGCACAAAAAGCCAGAAACAGCCATCAGTTGTCTCCTCTATTACTCTCTATCTGTTCCTTTCAGGCAATCTCTCTCCCTGAACATGGGGTTCACATTTTTTCAGCTAGGTTGGAAGCCAGTAAGTCCCAGAAATCCTTCTGTCTCCTCCCTACCCAGAACTTCACTTAGAGGTACACACAGGACTCCCAGCTTGTTATATAGGTGCTATGATTTGAAATTTTATCTTCATAGTTGCACAGCAAGCACCCTTACCACTAAGTCATATCTCTAGCCTGCTTATTGGCTTTTGCCATACTATTCCCTCTGTTGAACACACACAATTTTTCTTTTCTTTTTTTCTTTTTTTTTTTTCTTTTCTCAAGACAAGGTTTCTCTGTGCAGCTTTGGAGCCAGTCCTGGAACTCGCTCTATAGACCAGGCTGGCCTTGAACTCATAGAGACTCACAAAGGTCCACCTACCTCTGCCTCCTGAGTGCTGGGATGAAAAGCATGTGCACCACCACTGCTGAGCAAAGGCATGCAATTTCTGTCACACACACACACACACACACACACACACACACACACCACCACCACCACCACACTTACCATCCTTTCTTCAGTTACTATAATCCTTTAAAGCCTTGAGTAGTTTTCAGAAGGACTAGTTTTTAACACAAGAGGCAAAGAATGGAGGAGTGCTATGAAATGCTATCTTGTGAACATGACATGGTTGTTGCACCCAAGAACTCACAGCAAACTGTGGTTAGCTGTACAAGACCTGCACAAGATTGAGCCTGAGCCCATTAACATTCCATTATGTATGGTGAGGGGTTCATAAGGTTCCACACTTAGCTGAGAAGCTAAAGGCAGTTAATGCTTGCCCAGGGGAGGAGAGGGTCATATTCCTCCATGGTATAACCACTGATAAGTTGACATTTTTTACTCAAATAACTAACTGCCACTAATTCTCATGCAGGCAACCCTAATTAAAAAGGACATTAACCTAAGAGGTAGACTTGTTGGGAAGAAATGGTTCAGTGAGAAGATAAAGGGATACAAGAAAGTAATGGAGGCTGAATGTGATCAAACTACATTAGATATATCATGAAACTGTGAAATAAATTTTTATGCATTTAAAAAATTATTTAATTTTTTTCATAAATTGTATTTTGATCAGCTTCTTTCCTCTCCCTCAATGCCACCAAGATCCTACCTACTTCCTTACCCACCCAAGTTCATGTTCTGACTCTCTCAAATAGAAAACAAAAAATGAAAATCAAGACAAACTAAACATAATCAACAATGCAAACAACTCAAAACAAAACAAAATGCACACACAAGGACAACAAAACAAAAACAAAGCATCTGCTTTGTGTTGGCCAGATACTCCTGGACATGGGACATGCCCTGGACTGTGGCTGATATACTCAATGACATTCTATTAGAAATTGCTGATTTCCCTATTCCAGCAGGTATCTGTAGGTGAAGTATTACTGGTCCCACCTGGCTCCCATGGTCCCACACCAAGTAAACACATAGAGGCTTATATTAATTAAAACTGGATGGCCTAATGACTCAGAATTCTGACTAGTTAGATCTTAATCTTAAATTAACCTATTTCTATAAATCTATACCTTGCCACATGGCTTGTGGCTTACTTGTTATCTTTACATCTTGCTTCTACTGGAGGTAGCTGGCAGCATCTCCTGACTTAGCTTTCCTATTCCCAGAATTCCCTCTGCTTTTCCTGCCTACACTATACTTCCTGCCTGGCTACTGGCCAATCAGCATTTTATTTATCAATCAAATCAGAGCAACACATTCACAGCATACAGAGCGATATCCACATCAGGTATCAATTACAAATAGACTTCGTGTCTACTTCAGCATCTCAGTGCTGGGATTTTGTCTGGTTTGATTTGTGTGTGCTGTTACAGTGAGTTCATATGTGTATCAGTACTGTTATGTCTGAAGGATATTTCCTTGGAGTCATCCACTATCTGTTTTATAGGATCTTTCCAACTCTTCTTTTG